GGAGGAGCAGGCCCAGCACCTGGACAGGGGAGCTCGCAGGGCGTAGGGGGCAGGCCCAGCGCCTGGACGGGGGAGCTCGCTGGGCGTAGGAGCAGGCCCAGCACCTAGGCAGTGGAGCTCACAGGGCGTAGGGAGCTAATCCTCTTCGGGTTTCGGGTTGCTCCCCTTGTAAGTAAGCAATCTTCCCAGGCTTTGTGCAGCTATGCGCTTGTTGAAGTCAGCGTGAAACTCCGTGTGGAAGATGAGTGGAAATCTACACAGTAAGAAACAAGGCAGTCATCAGAGTGGCTTTGTTCTTGCAGGTATTTCCCTTTTCTGGCTAAACAGAAGCCAGGGCACCCAGAGTGTGACGTCCTGGCCAACGTCTTCGCTGTTCTCTCAGCAAAGAATCTTTCCGAGGCCACAGCCAGCATTGTGCTGGACATGGTTGACGACCTCCTGAGCCTTCCAGATTTTGAGCCCACAGACACAGTGCCAAGCCTGCCGGTGACTGGCTGGGCATCTGCCAGCCCTCCAGGCGACACGGCTGGTGGGTATGCTGGGACCCCACAGGGCGCAGACCCTCAACGAGAGTCACTGGCTACTGACTTTCTGGCTCATGTTTATAAGCGTCTTTTCTCTGAGAACTAATTCTCATTTATAGAAAGGTGTTTCCTTTGCATATAGCTTGTTTGAGTATATCTTGTTTGCAGAACAGGAAGTCTCACTGCCTTCCAGGAGGTGACTGTAACTTCTGCTGTTAGGTCTCCGCAGTCCCCTCCAGCCTGCCCCAGGGCCCTTTCCTGTTAACAGGTCCTGGCTTAGGCAGGCCATCAGGCTTTCTCAAGTACGGTCTTTATTTCACAACCAGAGTAGCTCTTCTGAATTAAAAGTCATGTAATATTTAGAGTTTAAATTTTCATTAGTAGCCAGATGCTTTATCTCTCACCCAGAAGATACTATGCAAGTATGCACTAAGTGGAGTTTTAAACGTGAAAACCATGGCCGCTGTCTGTTTCAGAGTCTGTCACTGTGGGAGGAAAACTGATTCTACCTCACGTGCCTGTAATTCTCCAGTATCTCAGCAAAACCACAATCAGCACAGAGAAGGTGAAAAAGAAAAAGAACAGGGTGCAAGTCAGCAAAGAACTTGGCATTCTGTCAAAGTAAGTCAGCATATTCGTGCTAACAAGATAACATTCGTTTTTTAAAATTTTATCCTACTATTCAGTTATTGAATGTGCTAATAATTTTAAAAGGTTTAAAGTAGTATATGAAAGGCCCTCGTTCATCCCCAGCCCCAGCACAGTAGTAGAGCATAGCTTGGTGCATCCAAGACCCAGGATTCATTCCACAAGGAAAATTTTCAGTATTTTAAATGCCCTCCACTTTAAGTCAGTGCAGAGTTGAGAGTCTGTGCTAACCATCTGAGACTCGATGGCTTCTGCCTTCATCCAGTGATAAACAGCAGACTTCGAAGTCCTGAGTCAAGCTAATAGATTTGCTTGTGTGGGCTTTGCATATTTTATTTAATTAAGCCTTGAGCTTTATGAAATCATATCCTATTTGGGATTTTTTTGCTTTAATTAGTAAGAACAACCACCTTGAAAGAACAAATTGTTTTCATTTTTGAGAATCAGGGAAGTTTTTTAAAGGGTGTTTTGTCAGTAAACCTAAGAGCATGAAATTGTGATTTCTCTAGAGGGCAAGGATAGTAAACCTAAGTAAGAAATTATTCTATCTTGAATTTTAATTTGACAGAAATTAAACTTAGGTATTAGATTTTTGTTGTTGTTGTTACTTTCACCATCAGAAACTTGAAAATACTTGGAGTCTTCTGCAAGCTTCTTCTTGGTGTTTTATGTTTGCAGGTTATGTAGAGTGGGGAACCCGCTAAGTTCCCCTGGTCTCCTCGAGGCAGCGTGGCAGTGGGAGGTGGGGAGGAGGTCAGGCGGAGGGACGAGCTTTCAGAAGCCCCCTCTGCCTCTTCCTAGCAGTGCCACCCTCCCGGCAGGGTGAGGCCGATTGTCTTCTTTCGAGGTTGCGGGGGAATTTATTGGCAGTTCTGTACATGAAACATGAAGTTTCGCGCTAAAAATTTAACTTCCTTGCAAAAGAAAAACTCCTGGTTGCCGGACCTCGCCTGGTTAGTCACCTCCCGTGCAGTGCAGACAGATGATGGGGACTGGGAGCAGGCAGGGGCCAGGGCCGGAGAAGGCTCTGACTGCTTGTCTTCCTGACACGCCCGTTGGTTTCCTTTGCTAGGATCAGCGCGTTCTTGGAAGACAGAGAGCAGAGCTCCCTGCTCATCACCCTGCTGCTTCCCTTCCTGCACCGCGGCAACATCCCTCAGGTACGGAGTGCAGGGGGCTCGTTTTGCAGTGGTTCATCTGGAAGGAGCAGTTTCATTGGTTAGGTTCTGTGATGCATATTTCCCAAGAACTTAAAAGACTATACAGAAATAAAAAACTTAAATAGAGGGGACAGGGCCAGCAAGATACCTCTGCGGACTGAACACCTGCTTTGGCGAGTACATAGACCAGGGTTCGATCCCAGCCCCGCGTGCCACACTGCCCCTGGGGTGTGCTGAGCCGGAGGCTGATTCCAGGCATGGTGGCAATGCCTGTACTCCCAGTGCTGGGGAAACTGAAAATAGGAGCGCAACTGTGAGTCTCAGCTGCGTAGTGAGACCCTGCACCAAATACATAAAATGAAAAAAAATAATAATAACAGGGTACAGGAGTTTTTCTATAACTTGGGGCAGCAGCACATGGCGCGCAAGGAGTGCACTGGACCTTAGTTTCAGAGTCAGAGAGTGGCAGAGCTGAGTGAGCGCCCGCTGCAGGCTCAGCCACACATTGGAACGCAGCTCTCAGATCCAGTGCGGAGGCCTTCCGGGCACACCTAGCGCCTTGTTTACATGGCTCTGGTACCACGAGCTCTGGTTTCCACCAGCAGGCCCGTTTGGTCAGCTGTGTTTTGACTAGACAGTAATGGCGAGCCTCGGAGCTTTCAGTAGTGCAGCCTGCTGCAGCCGCCGGGCCACAGGTTCACCACCACCAGACTGGCCTGTCGAAGACATCGTGTTTTAGAGCCATGCGTGCTATGTTAGGATTACAGGAAGACTGCTGTGGGTTTGACTTTAAAAGGTTGGAAACTTCTATATGACTAGGAAATAAGTTCCTGTCACTCCTTTCACTGTTATCCTTAATTATTTCCTGTGCTAGAATGTACTGAAATGTAGATAGACTTGTTCTGTAAATTACTAAAATATGGTTTTCCCTCTTTCTTCTGAAGGACACAGAGATGGATATCCTGGTGACAGTGCAAAACCTGCTGCAGCACTGTCTGGACCCCACCAGCTTCCTCAGGCCTCTGGCCAAACTCTTTTCAGTCATTAAGAACAAGTTGTCAAGACAACTGCTGTGTACCGTTTTCCAGGTATATGAAATGCAGTTCTTACTCAACATTCCTTGCTTGTTTGTTTGTTTTGGTTGGGGGACAGGTGAGACAGGATCTCACTGTACAGTTCAGACTGGCCTTGAACAGGGTGATCCTCCTGCCTCAGCCTCCCCAGTGGTGGGATTACAGGTGTGCACCGCCACGCCCATCTCCATGCCACAGTTGTGAAAAGATAACATGGGTTGTAGAATGTTGGAGAGCCTCTTGCGCACGTGGGTACGGACGGAGCTGAGGGGAGGCAGAAAAGCTGGCACGCTGACTAAACATGCTGTGCTCTCTTCTTAGGGTCTTTCTGATTTTGAAAGTGGACTAAAATATATCACTGATGTTGCCAAGGTAAGACAAACTTCTTATTTTTCTTTGGCCTGCAAAGTGCACTCCTTTTTGTTTAAGATGTATACACTTTCGTTTATATGATTTCTCGCAGCTGAACGCCTTTGATAAGAGACATCTTGACGATATCAACTTCGACGTGCGCTTCGCCGAGTTCCAGACAATCATGTCGTACGTTAGAGAGATGCGGAGCGTGGACGTCAGCTACCTGACTGCAGTGGTGCATAACTGCCTCTATAACATGGAGGTGAGCTTGGCTAGCGAAAGCGCGTGAGTCGCTTGATCCTCATCACCTTGCTCACACAACTGCGTGATACAGTGGCCTCCTTCCTTCATTTATTCTTTAGTATCAAAGTTTTGTTAGATGCAGAATTTGGGGTTTGGCAAGGACATTGCTAGTCCAGCGATTTAGAAAGCAGCTATTTCAAACAGAACAATATATGTGGAACCACTTTGAAAAAAGCAAATTGTGTATTAGAATGGAGAAACCCACAGAGGTGGAAGGCAAGTTGAGGACTACTGCAGTTTGTGTGATGGGAGGAAGGGATCGATTTTTCATTGGCGTAGGGCGCTGCTGGACTTGAAGATCTTCTGAAGTTTGTGCAGTGTTTGCACCAGCTTCTTTCTATGCCCAGAATGCCGGCTTGCACTCCAAAAGGCTGAACTTCACGGCCTCTTAAGTAGATCTCAGTGTTTCAGAGCTAGGTTAGACCTATGTTAGATGTTCTCCCGTTTTCTGCACAATTTTTTTTTCAAAGTTTTATTGATAAACAGCAATGAGACAGTTTCAAATCAAATCGGAAGTACAGTTTCAACAAATAGTACACTGCATATATTCTTCTTAGTGGTTAATTGCTGTACAAGATGCGGACTTGTGATCCTATTTACAAACACCATTAGAACAAATCATTCTATTCATTAAGAGAATGCAACTATGTATCTATCCCAACCTCTTTGAATACACAGATACAAAATGGACATTCATCGGTATACCCCATTTTTCCTAAGTTCCGTTATTGTTCTGCACAATTCTTATGGGTGCATGTTCTGCTTATCCAGACGAGTAGGTTTCATTTTGGCGGAAGTGCACCTGCACCTGCCGCACTGTAACCATCCCCTCCGCCACCGCTGTGCTGCCCTTCCCCAGGTTCAGATTGGGGCTTGGTCTGTGTACTGGATTTGATCATCTTCCTCCCAATTATCCACCCCATCTGCTTCCTCTGTTCTAATAATGGTCTCCCTTCTACTCTCTTATCATCCTTTCTAGATTGCCTGTATTAGGAAAAGCAGGCTGTCTTGTTACTCTTCTCTCATTGCTGGGACAAATACCCGACACCCAAAATGAAGGAAGGAAAGGTTTATTTAGCTCACAGTCACTGGAGGTTTCAGTCCACACTCAGCTGGGTCCAAGGCAGAGTGGCACAAGGCAGAGGGCAACCTTTCATGGCGGTGGCAAAGAGCAAGAGCACAAGGGAGGGGTAGCAGCAGCTCAAGCAGCTAGCTTCTCTTCCCACCTTACATTGTAATACAAATTACCTGCCCCAGGGCAAGTGCAGCATCTACTCCTGTAGTAATCAATCACAAGCTCCAGAAGCCGCCCCAAGACTGCAAGAGGCTTTGGGGGGACAACTGTACACAAACCCTAACACGGGCAATATTTGTTTTTCTGAGTCTGGCTTATTTCAGTCAAAATGATAATCTCCAGTTTCATCCTCTTTTTCTGCAAATGGCAAATTTTTCTTTTTCGTAGCTGAATAATACCCATTCATTGTGTGCATATACGACGTTTTCTGCATCCTGTGATGAACACAGGCTGGTTCCATATCTTGGCTGTTGCATAGTATGCCCCAGTAAATGTGGGTATGCAGGTATTCCGGGGGTGCAAGCCAAGGGGTGGTACAGGGTTGATAACGTGGTGGCTCTGTTTCTAGTTTTTGAGGAACCTGCACACTGCTTTCTGTGTTGGCTGTGCTGCTTGGGTTCCCACCAGCAGAGCAGCACGGCTCCTGTCCCTGTGTCCTCAGAAGCATTTGCTTCTGTGTTCCAGGTGCAGCCACTCTGCCTGGGGGAGGCGGGCTCTCAGAGCAGTTTTGATTTGCAGCTCCTGGTGGCTAAAGATGTCATACCCTTACTGTCATATGCACTTCTTTTGAGGAGTGTTTATCTATGCATTTGCCCATTAATTCCTTGGCTGTTTGATCTTTTGGATGTTGAGTGTTCTTTATTTTAGATATTAGGCTGGGGAGATAGCTCAGTGGTCTAAGCACCTGCCTGACAAGTGCAAGGACCAGGGTTCAATCTCTGGCACCACATGCAGCGCTGGCCCCAGAGCCCCAGGTGTGCTGTGCTGGCCACTGAAACCAGGCATGGTGGTGCACGCTTATAATCCTCGCGCTGGGGAGGCTGAGACGGGGGATCACTAGCAGTCTGAGCTGCATTGTGAGACCCTGTACCAAATAAATAAATGCGTTTTGGTTTTGGGTGTCAATCCTCGGTGAGGAGAACACTGGTGAAGATTTTCTCCATTCTGTAGGCTGTTTCTTCCTTCTGTCAGTTGCCCTTGCTGTGCAGAAACTGGAGCGTAGTCCCATTTGTAATTTCCTGTGCCACTGGGGCCGTAGTCAAGAGTCTCTGCTCCAGTAGTGTGCCTTCATTGAAGACACAGGGAAAATAAGTATTTGAATTATACGTCGTGTATCGCTAAACCGAATTAAATACCAAGGTGGGGAGATGACGCTTGCTTACTGCTGACCTTGTGATAACGTCAGTGATCTCTGGGGTGCTTGTGCAGTGGGGGAAGAGAGCCGTTGCCCTGACTGGGGTTCATGCCTCACAGCCATGCAGCTTCAGCCCAAGAGTGCTGCGCCCCTGCCTGCGTGGCATGCAGGCGTGCATTCCTCCCTCACACCGCTGACACCAAGAAGCTAGAGCGCTGCCCAAGATCGCGATGGCCTGAGGCTGAGCATTGAGGGCTGGCTTCAGTGAACCTCGGCCTCTGCCTGCTTGGGCATATAAAACTCAGACGCTACTTTGTAGTCCTTCCTGGCATGAGGAGATAACCTTGCAAAGAGCTTGGGCTTGTCAGTCAGCTACTGTGCTCCCCACAGCTCTCCATGTGGTCCTTCTTCAGCTTCACAGTCCTTTGGACATTTATTTGTAGGGCTTTGTACACTGAGCAGTGACAAAATTTCACCTTCTTGGAAATAACATTGTGTACAGATTCTGCACCGAATGTCTGTATTCTTTTATCCAGCTAGGGGACATGTCCTTAAGTGACAATGCCAGCATGTGCCTGATGAGTATCATCCGGAAGCTAGCGGCCTTGAGCGTCACCGAGAAAGACTATCGGGAAATCATCCATCGCTCCCTCCTGGAGAGGCTGCGGAAGGGCTTGAAGAGCCCCGCGGAGGTCTGTGGCTGCGTCCCGCCAGGCGCTGCTGTGTGCGGGCGGGCGGGCGGGCGGGCGGGCGGGCAGGCGGGCGCGCTGCTGTGCCCTGCCTTCTCTTGTCCGCTCGGTTGTATGGGAACGCAGCTGCACTGCATTCCTCAACTAAAACACCGATAGCAGTGGGCGCCAGGCCGCGGGCTGCAGCCGGAAGGGACACAGTTGTTCTTGATTTTACAAGTGCTTTGACTATTTTTACAGTGGAGTTTTTTTGTTTGTTTTTTGTTTGTTTTTTTTTTTTTTAATATACTGGTTTTTGGGTGCCACCTCCCTACTATGTAAGAAGCAGATTCTTCTAAAATAAAACTTCAGGGCTGGGGATATAGCTTGGGGGCACCATACCTTCCTGGTAAGCTTGAGGTTGTAAGTTCAGTTCCAAGTGCCGAAGAAAAACAAAACAAAAACTTTTCTTTTTCCATTTGACACTTGCAGAGTATTCAACAGGATTATACCACCATACTTTCGTGTTTAATTCAAACCTTCCCAGATCAACTAGAGTTCAAAGACCTGGTGCAGCTCACACACCAGCAGGACCCGGAAATGGACTTCTTTGAGAACATGAAGCACATTCAGGTAGGAGACAGCCCTGCCCCACCCTGTCCTGCAGAAGAGTGTTCAGACAGGTGCGGGTCCTTTAGAAAGATGCGCTTTCCTGTCCCAGGGGTCAGACCTCTCGGCCCTGTCTCCAGCACCCGCAGACACGCTACACAGAAGGTGGTCCTTCCTGGGGTCTGGGGTTTTCAGTGCTATCAGAAGCTGGCAGATTGGGGCCAAGGAGATGGCTCAGTAGAGTAAGTGCTTGCCTGGCAAGCACAAGGGCCTGGGTTCAATCCTTGGTTCCACCAAAAAAAAAAGAAGAAGAAGCTGGCAGAGAATAATGTTAGCGTTCTGTTTTCCTAAGTTTAGTGGTTTGGGCTCCTCTGATAAACAAAGGCTGTAGGTGTGTGACTTGTACACACCTGGTCTGACTCACAGATCCATAGACGAGCAAGAGCCTTGAAAAAGCTGGCAAAGCAGCTGACGGAGGGCACAGTGGCGCTGTCCTCCAAGTCCTTGCAGAACTACATCATGCCCTACGCCATGGCCCCAGTTCTGAATGAGAAAATGCTCAAGGTGGGTGTCCCCACACGGGCTGTGGCTTCACGCTGAGGTTGGCTCTGTGTGGTGGCATTTAGGTGGGTATCGCTTTATCCAGTCTAATGTTTAATGTGATTGTTCATAAGGTTGAGTTGAAATCTCTGATCTTGGTATTTACTTTCTGCTTGCTTCATTTTTCCCCTTTTTCCTTTTGTTCCTTCTTTTGGACTTGTTAACATTGACATTAGTTTTACACCATGTAGTACGTTATTTTGGCCTTGTACGTTGCCAGAATATCTCTTGTAAAGAGATAAAGAAAGATCTTTAGCATTTGGCTGCATATTTGCTGCTTCTGACACCCTTCATTCCTGTGTGTAGATCCATCAGGAGGGCTAAATAGAAAAGAGTCCGAAATGCCTTAAACCCTTAGAAGAAGGCATTGTCCCTTTAAGTGATGGTGTCTTTTTGCAGGCAGGAGGGAGGAGCATAGTGTGCACATTCGGACATTTCTTCCATTTCTGTAATTACTGATCACCTTCTGGCTAAGATTTTCGGTGGTCCAGGTGGCCATGACTTCATCAGCAAGTGCTTGTGCTCTCTTGATGCTGTGTTTATTCTGCAGCACGAAAACATAACCGCTGCCGCCGTGGAAGCTGTCGGAGCTGTATGCAGACATCTCTCCTGGCCGGCATACGTCTACTACTTGAAGCACTTCATCCATGTCCTACAGGCAGGACAGACCCACCAAAAGCTAGGTGTCAAGTACGCTGAGTTTCTACTCTAGCTTCTTTGAAAAGTGCAGCCTTAACCTTATTCCTGCCTGGGTCCTTGGGATGCACGACTTGCTTCCGTCTGGTATTGATGAGGCTGTGGTAACACTTGTTAAAGTTAAAAATACTGGTGAAAATAATTTCAGAGTTTATGTCTTTAAGTTTCCTTTTAGTAGTCACACGGGAATGGTGACCCAGGTCCTATTGCCCTGTGTCTCCTTCCCAGTTTGCTGGTGACCGTGTTGGAAGCGTTCCACTTTGACCACAAGACTCTTGAGGAGCAAATGCAAAAAATTCAGAATGAAGAAAGTAAGTTTTTAAATCCTTCTTTTTTTTTTTAATTATTTATTTATTTGTGTGTGTGTGTGTGTGTGTGTGTGTGTGGCCAGCTCAGCCCACCAGGGGGTGGGGCTGGCTGGCATGTGGTGCTGGGGATTGAACCGCAGTCCCTGTGCTTTGCTAAGCTTGTTCTAAGTAGGTGCTTTAGACCACTGAGCCATCTCACCAGCCCCTTTTAAATCCTTCTTATGCTAGATTTTTCACTCTCTTGGATAATTTATGGTCGTGAATTAAAGAAGGCAAAATTCATCTTACTCTTTCTTCCCTGGTTAGCAGTGACAGTGGAAGTCAGGTGGAAGCTAAAATGATTTGTTTGAAGCTTTCCTAGCAAATGTATCCACTTTCAAAGCGCTAGTCTACATTTTATTAGTGGGCAAAGTCTGAGCTGTAGGTTATTCTAGAAGGCCGCCCCGTTGATGTGTGTAGGAGCATTAGCCAGTGAATGCAAAGACAGCTGAACAGGAAATGATGAAAATGAGGGCAGGGGGCAGCGGTTAATGAAACAGAAGGTAAGTGTAATGGAACTAAGGCAGTTGTTGAGTAATTATAAACTGGAAAAAAGTGTCTTTAATCGAAAAGAAGATGACCTGAGGGCTGTCTGCCTGGTAGCGAAGCTGATCCCGTACCTCAGCACCTTCTGGCGCAAGTGGCGGCGCAGCGAGCCGAGTCGGCGAGATCCAGGAAGACCACACTGATTCTGTGCCTACCGCTGAAGCAGGCGCTAGCGGACGCTCTGTTACGACCAGTCTCGGATGTTCGCGAATGAAATCCCAGAATCCGTAAAAACATCAAAACCTTAACTGTGCTTGGGTGTTCTGCAAGTGTAAGATTTATTTACTTCTAGAAAAGTGGCACTTAATGTAGTAGCATCCAAAGCCGCATGACTGTACGTGGATTATATCCATTATCTGCCCAAGCCAGAGACAGCAAGCAAATGACACAGAGGTCCTTAGCTTGTTACAGAACAGGTAGTTTTCCTTAGCTTTGTAAAGCAACTTGGAACCTTATGGAACATCTTACTCAGTGGAAACAGGTTCCATGCCTTTGCTTTAAAACCAGAGTGAAGCTGCACATGGGCCTACACTTGTGATCCCAGCCCTTGGGAGGCTGAAGCAAGAGGGTCGCTGTGAATGCGAGGCCAGCCTGCACCACGCAGCGAGACCCTATCTCAACAGAAACTAATAAAGTAAAACCAAGCGATGGACAGCTACCTCCTGCTACCTACTGGTGCTAACGCTGAGCCAGGGGCTTTCACTGGCACAGGCAATGAGGGGCAGCCGCACTGCTGTGCCACAGCTCCCCATCCAGCTGTGCTGGGGAAACTCTCCAGTTCTGGCCCCAGGCATGGTTTTCTTTAGTCAGTTAAACTTGTCCTTGGCTGTTTCACTTATATTAAAAGTTAAAAATATAGAATTAGCTTAACTTTTCTTAGGAAATTAATTTTCCTTATTCTGAAGTAGCTCACGTTACCCACATTTCATGGTTTCCAGACCCATGTGGCATGATGTTTGAAAGGCGGGTAAAATGCACACAGCTCTCTTCCCTGCTGTTCTGTGGCTCCTGTGCCCCGAGATGTCCATTTAGTAGCTGCCTGAAGGCTCTTGTGAAAATGATGGCCAGCTCCCGGTGACATTTCCTGATGGCCAGATAGCTCAGCGGACAAAATGCCTGCTGAGGCAGCCTCAGCAACCAGGGTCTGATCTCTGACGTGCCGTGACAGCCCTGCCCCCAGGGTGCACTGAGATGGCAACTGAGACGCTCCTTCAGTCCCAGCGCTTGGGAGGCTGAAAACAGGAGGATCACTATGAGTCTGATCTATATAGTGAGACCCTGTGGACTCTTGTACTAAATACAAAGAAAGGAAGAAGAGGGGAGAAAAGGGAAGAGGAGAGGAGAGGAAGGTTGGTTTCCCTGGGATACATTATGAATGGAAAGGAAAGGAGAAAGGAGAGGAAGGTTGGTTTCTCTGGGATACTTTTTGAATGGAACATGAAGGGCTGCAAGTTGTACTTAAGGGCTGGGGATAGAGCTCAGGGGTGGAGTCATTGCCTGGGATGTAGAGATTGGGTTTGATCCCAGGACTATCAATCAGAAGTGTGAAGTCCTCAAAAACTAAAGCCATTGCACGCCTGCCACCCCAGCCATCGGGAGGAAGGCAGGTGGGTCACCACAGGTTTGAGGCCAGCCTGGGCTACATCCTTCCTGAGCCTGCCTGGGTTTTAGAGGCATGAAGTCATCTGTCCTGAGAAGAGCATTGATTGGTGACGTGAGCCTGAGAAGCCGCAGTCCATCCCTGCGTGCAAAGTAACTTTCCCAAGCTGCTTGGCTGGTAACATGACAAAGAGGCCCACGTGCAGCATTCTGAGAGCGAGGGAGGTGGTGACACTGATGGAAGCCTGGCTGGCACCCAGCTCCACGGGTGGGCACCTCTGAAGAGACCGCAGCGGCTTGCAGCCTGCACCATGCAGGGCATCTGTGAACTGCACTGTGCCGTGGCCTCCTGTCTTGTCACCAGGGTCCCAGGGTAAGGGAGACTCCTGCCCGCCCACTTGTGGCTGTCCTTACAGTATGCTGGCTTCGTCCTGCTCATGAGTGTAAGTTTTATGGGCACCACCGAGCACAGTACTCCGGGAGCTTTCTGTGGCAGAGAGCCCTCCTCCCAGGTTGTCCCCAGGCTATCTTCGTGCCCAAGTCTCCTGCTCTGTTCCTTGTCAGCCTCCTGCCCGGGAGGAAACTGTCATCATGCCATCTCCTTGCTGCGTACCCCATCTATCCAGAGCTGGTGACCAGAGGTGTTTTATTGGCTGTCACTGTTGGGGAAGGTTCACTTGACACAGCTGTGTTGTTCCTTGCTGGATTTAAGGTGCATTTCCCTTCTAAGTCACAGACACAGTAGAAATAACGGAGTTCCCGGAGGAGGAGGCCATGGAAGTTGAATCCCTGAGTGAGGAAGAGCAGAAACACACAAAAGAGACACCAGATGCCACCGGGGTTCCAGGAAGTCCAGACCCAGCCAGTCCTGCCGGGACAGCAGCTGAGGAGCCCAAGAGGACCCCCCAGGGTGTCTCCTTCCTTCCTCGGAATAAGGAAGAGCTGGAGAGAACAATGAGAGCCATCCATGGCACCGTTACCCAGGACATCCTCCCCCGGCTGCACAAATGCCTGGCTGCTACGGTAATCATTTGCTGGGCCTCCTGGGTGCGGTGGGGCTGGGCTGCCGGGCTGGTACCCCGAGGCTTCTATCTCTGCCTCAGTCGGCCCTCTGCCCTTCTTGCCTCTCCTCTCCCCAGCCTGGGCCCATGCCCTGCAGCAGCTGCTCAGCAGTGGTCCTCTGTAGGATTTTCATACCAGAAGTGTGTGCTTTCTCTCTCTAAAGAAGTTGATTACAAGCTAAAAGATGTTTCCCTTGCCTGCTTACTGACCACTGCTCTACCATTCATCCTTCCACTGGTGACAGGGCTAACACAAATACTGGTACATTTGCATGGCCCCAGGGCCTCTCAGTGTAAAACCTGAGCAAGCAGACAGGCTCCTGCGCTGCAGCAGTTGTTACAGTTTTATTGGACGCATACTCATTCGTACATCACCTAATTCTGACCTTGTATTACAATGCCAAAGTCTCCTAACTTCAGCAGACGCCCCCACAGCCAAAAATGTTTGTTTACCTTTACAAAAAGTGCTTAGCAGCTGCCGGTGGACATACTGACTCAGCTGTGGGAGGTTTTTATATTTCACACAATCTTAACTCATCAGGGACGACCTGGTGTTATTTTTTCTCTAGCAGCTTCTTTGATAACAGAACATTCTTCTATTTATTTTTATGATTTTAGAGGGCTCTAGCACAAATTCCTTAGGATAGTAAGTTAGAAATGGACTTAACACTGGGAGCAACCATCTTCCGGGCAGGGTTACGGTGTGGGCAGGCCTCTCGGCTGGCTGGAGTTGGACCCACTTTTTCTTGCAGACTAAACGGGAAGAAGAGCACAAGCTCATCAAGTCCAAGGTCGTGAACGACGAGGAAGTGGCCCGCGTGCCCTTAGCCTTTGCCATGGTTAAGCTCATGCGGTCCCTTCCACAGGAGGTGATGGAGGCCCACCTGCCAAGGTACTTGGGCGACAAGCTAGACAAGGCTGGGGAGACTTGGGTCCGATCTTCTCTTCTAGCCTCTGGAGGCTCTCATTAGAAGTCACCATTTGTGGGGCAGCGCAGTGATGCACACCTATAATTCTGCACTCAGGAGGCTGAGGCAGGAGGATCGCTGAGAGTTCAAGGCCAGCCTGAACTGTATAGGGAAACCCTGTCTCAAAAAAGAAAATCCCTGTTTCCTGTGAGTTACAGATAGTTAAGAGACAGAAGGATGTGTGTTTTTATTGATTTCTGCTTGTTTCATTAGCCGTTTTTTATTTGCATTTCCTAGTATCTTGCTGAAAGTGTGTGCCCTCCTGAAGAACAGAGCACAGGAGATCAGAGACGTGGCACGGAGCACCCTCGCCAAGATTCTGGAGGACTTGGGCGTGCGCTTCCTGCAGTACATCCTGAAAGAACTCCAGACCACCCTGGTGCGCGGCTATCAGGTGAGCACAGCAGCGCGTCCTGGGGCTGCAGGCCCACTGCGGGAGGGCAGGCCCCAGTACAGAGCAGCAGCATGAGGAGCGTTCCAGGCGGCAGGAAACAAGGATTGGAAAGTCTCCTTCCTGTGTCGGGGCTTTTTGAAAGATCCTGAGCGGCCTGAGTCACGTGACCACTTTCTTCTCGGAAGTTACTTGCATTGTTTCATATTGTCTGGATCCTGAGCTGCTTAATGAATGTGCCTAAAGGTCTTGGCCACTAGCAGACAAGAAAGAATCTACATGTTCAGCTAAGAGTTCAAACATAAGTGTAAAAGCACTAAGAACCAGGCAAAGTCTAGAACATTCTGTGCAGATGCCTGGCTGTGCATCCCTCCTCCAAGGGGCCCAGACCAGCAGCACAGCGAGTCCTGGGCAGGACACAGGTGTGGACTCTGCACCCGCTCTACAGGAACTCCCAGGAGACGGAGTTTGAGAAACACCACCACTTTTCCTTCACAACCCTGGCCAAGGTGGTTGGTTGGCTTTCCCCGTGTAGCCTGACATCAGGCAGCCCAGCCTCTCTGTCAGTGTGAGACCGGCCCCGAAACGGCTTGTTTGCTTCACGTGTCGCTCGCTGTGGGGTTGCTCTAGGGTGAGGCCTGTTACTCCATGTCCAGCCCTGCTCTCCGCACCCCACGGGCTGCGAGTGGGCTTCCAGCCTCCAGGGTGTGCACAGCTGTGTGCAGAAGGCTGTCAGGCAGTTAAGACAGCTTTGTCAGACATTTTAAACAACTCGGGAGAAGAGTCTGCAGCTGTCCCTTTTCCCTGAACCCCTCCTTCCTGCATTCCCAAGTTGCTTGAGGAGTTCTGGAGCAGGCCGGTTGCATGGGCCCTCCATTGACTTCCATCCCAGCATGTCCAGGTCACTGTCATCCTTGAAGGTGTTGTGTCCTAGACATGATTCTGCGCTGATGCCAGTGCTGTCCTGGCTTTCTGCACGTCCTCCAGAACCTTCTGAGTTCTGTCTGCCTGCAGAAGACGTTGCTTGGTTGCTGCAGGCATGGCAAGGCATGTGGCTGTCCCTGAGCTCTGTGCATGTGTGTTTCTCCGCTGTCCTGCTCCACGGCATATCCTTCCTCAGCAGGGTCGGTACCATGTCAGCTTTCCATGTTGTTCTTCCTCCATTTCCTTCCCAGTCCTGCTCTCTGGTCTTCATATCGGGCAGCTTCCACAGGTCTGATGTGTGGTTCCCTGGCCCCCTCCTATTTGTCACCATCCTGCTGTCCCATCCAGAAAGACTGACTGGGGGAGCTAGGTAGCAGCTGTCGTGTCCTCTGCTGTCCATGTAGCTCCCTGTCCAGCTGACAGTAGCCTTCCCACCTAGGGCTGCAGCTGCACCCTGGGCCTCAGTGCTCTGCCACGCCCACTCCTGGCACGCATGGGGCCCACCAGGCTGGGCTGCATCCCCAGGCCAGGGTGAGGGCGGGACAGGAGAGGCTGCAGGGAGTCAAGGACGGTTCCCTCTGGCTGGGGCCTGGTGAGGAGGATGCAGAGCTGACCCTCGCTCTGTGTACCCCTGTGCTCCATGGAGAAGCAGGGCAGAGCCTCTCCCGTCTCCCTGGAACTCGAGCTCAGATCGGGGGCATTTTCACTCGGTTCAGTTCTTTGAACCAGCGTCAGTTCCCAGCACCTGTCCATGGGTTACAGGGTGGTCAGCAAGGACAGCCCCCAGTTATAGGCCGAATGCTCCCGGGCTGGGGCCTTGCTCATTCTCCCCACACTGGCTTCCAGGCTGGAGCTGAGGCGAGCTCAGCATGTACAGGCTCCGCGCTGCCCCCAAGCCCACAGCTGCAGGGGACACTGAGTGGCCCCGCGCCTTGCCTTACTCCTCCTGACCACCACTCCCCAAGTCTGGCCTATTTTTGTTTATTTGTTATTGTTGCTGTTGTTAAAGTAACTGATCTGGTGTTGAAAGAGCCGCTGGTTTAGGCTTTAGTATTAATAGTGTAGACACTGCCAAAATCCAAGGGCTTTTTAAAAAATTACGTAAGATCCACAAGAACCATTTATAACTATAAAAAAATGACATATGGGGGGGTGAAAAAATAAGATGTGTTGTGAACATGGTCTGGCTCCCCGAATGGGGAGTACAAACACTATGGATTGCAAAGCTGCACTGCTAAAAAAAATTTAAGAATTAGTAACTATGCAAAAAAATAATAATAATCAACATTTGACAGTGCAGTGGTGGGTGTACACAGCGCAGCCTGCGGCCGTAACCGTGCCTGTCTGTGTTCACCACAGGTGCACGTGCTGACCTTCACCGTCCACCTGCTGCTACAGAGCCTGGCTGGCCACCTGCAGGCTGGGGACCTGGACGCCTGCTTGGACATCCTGGTTGAGGTGAGGCCTCTGAGCCAGGCACCTGAGTGGCCTGGGGGCGACACGCTGTCGTGTCCAAGCCTGGCAGAGGGTTGTGCGGCTCGCATGAGCAGGTGGTACTCTGGGGAGGTCTGGAAAGAAAGCTGCCGTGGGTGTCGGGAGCTTTCTCAACAAGCAGTTTGTTACTGCCAGGAATCCATTTTGCAGGGTAGTCAGACAGGGCCTTGGGGTTTTTAGAAAAGGATCCTCAGGTAAGCTTGGTTTAAGTTTGAAACCTCGCTGACAAATCCAGCATAAGTTGATACTGTAATATAATTTAGGAAGTAGGATTGGAAAGAGAATAAATCTGCTGTGCAGCCTTTTGTTCATTATAAAAACTATAGACAGTGATTTTGAAGATCAATTTAAGTATTTATATTTCAATAATTAAGTCGTAAGTATGCACATTCCTCGGCGCGAAGCACGGGGTCTGTTTCCCTTGTGCACAGCTTTGGGTGCCAGGCCTCTGAGCTGTGCTCACAGAGGCAGGATCTGGCCCATCTGCTGTCCCACCGCTCCCGGAGCCCTGCGATCGCCGTGGGATCTGGCGTGGGGCCTGGACTGCTGCTGCCACTGCTCCTCATATCTGGCCTTTCTCCGCACAGATCTTCAACCGGGAACTATTTGGGGCCGTCGCTGAGGAGAAGGAAGTGAAACAGATCCTCTCCAAGGTCATGGAGGCGCGGAGAAGCAAGAGCTACGAGTCCTATGAGATCCTGGGCAAGTTCGTAGGGAAGGATCAAGTGACAAAACTCATCCTCCCGCTGAAGGAGGTGAGGGCTGCAGGCGCAGGCTGCCTTCCCAGAGGAGCATGCAGGTGCCGATGCCCGAGGGCCGGTGGCAGCCCTGTGTCGGGGCGCAGTTCAGAGCCCTGGCCCCTGCTGCACCCCTCACCCTGAGAAAGGAAAAGCAGCAGTCCGGTCGGGGGAGTTTCTCCCGCGGATAGCGCCACACGCATGGCCTCGGGTCAGCTCCCCTCCCGGCAGCTGTGAAGAAAAGCTGCTGTGTGCGCTTCTGCTGCCCCATCGCTGCCTGTGTGTGCCAGGCGACGGGGCACCTCTGCTTCACAGGCTCTGGAGAGCCAGGTGAGGCAGTGCACATTGTACGCCAGCTACTCGGGACGTTGAGGCGCAGGAGATTCCCAAGTTTGTTTTTTTTTGCTGTACCAGGAATCGAACTCAGGACCCTTGCACTTGCCAGGCAGGTTCTTACGCCACTGATCTATCTCCCCAGCAACCCAAGAATCCCAAGTTCTAAGCCAGCCTGGGCAAGTCAGCAAGACATTATCTCAGGAAAGCAGAAAGAACACAGTAAAGGAAGAAAGAGTCAAGTTCCAGATCTTTCTGAGCTGAAGCTCACAGCCTTTTCCACTTCCTTTTGTCCCCTACAAAGGAGAAGAGTCACTTAGCTGCCTGCCTTCCTTGTTACTTCCTGTGCCAGTTGCAGGTGTCATTCTCACTGCAGCTGCTGGCTCATTCTGTCCAGCCACGTGGACAGAGCTAGAGCTGAAAGCCCCCCTCCCTACCCCCAAGCTGCCGGTGCTGGGTGCTCTGCACAGCTCTGCCTTAGGCTGCTCTGGGGTGGCCACACCTTGGACTGAGGGCCCTGCACAAGATAGTGGCTACCCAGCACTGGTGCTTTGCTGAGGCTGCAAACGCTGCGGCTTCGCCATTCACCGTAGCCCTTGATGCGCAGGGTCTCCTTCAAGAGTTGACTGTGCATTTCATGAACGAGCAAGCAAGAATTACCCTCTAACGTACTCAGAAATGGCATCTTAGCCTCACCACCAGGGAGGGTGGAGGGGACCAGGGAGCACAGCCTCCACAGGGCTGAGGCCATGGGTGACATACTTGTGTTTGTCCATTCAAAGTCTTAGTAAGGTGTACTCCAAAGTTAGGAAAAGTACTCTAGAAAGCAAAGGTTCCAAGGGAAAACCTCGCCGAGGCCGCATGCGGGTGGCACGGGCTGTCTCAGCAGCGTGTCTGTCTGCCCACAGGTCCTGCAGAGCACCACGAGCCTGAAGCTGGCCCGCAAGGTTCACGAGACCCTGCGGCGCATCGCAGCGGGGCTGATCGTCAACCCAGCCATGGCCGCGGAGCCGCTGCTGCTGCTCAGCTACGGCCTGGTCAGCGAAAACCTTCCACTGCTCACAGAGAAGGAGAAGTGAGTGTGGGGAAACGCCAGGCTGCTCTGGAGGTGCTTAAATCTGAGATGTTCAGTGCTTGTTCTCAGGTAGCTTACTAATTTACCTCAGTGAAAAACAAAAACTGTAAGATGGCACTACTGGGCTGGGAAGATACTTCAGCAGACTAGGTGCCTGCCTGGCAAGCACAGGGTCCTGAGTTTGATCCCTAGTACCAAAAAAAAAAGTACTACTTTTGCTGTGTTTGGGGAGAGGTTCTTACAAGTGAAACCTAACATGAGATTTTCTTGGAGTTGAGGTAGTTGTGACAGTCGGCAGTCTAACAACATTTTCTTTTTTTTTTTTTTTTCTTTCTTCAGTACTGGGGATTGAACCCAGAGCCCTCACACTAAGTTATACCCTTCCTACCCCCTCTGTAGTTTTTTGTTCCAAAACAAACTCTCACTACATTGTCCAGGTAAACTCAAACTTAACCGTCCTCCTGCCTCTGCTTCCAAAGTGCTGGGATTACAGGTGTGTACCACCACTCCTGGCCTCTCTCAGCCCAGTTTTGGTTTAAATATTTATTGACTGTCAGGATGGATTTAAATATGTATGACCTACTTTGATTCAGACTGACCACCAGGTACCTGAGAAGCTCGTGCCAGCCTCCCTGGGCTGCGCCGCTATTGGGTATGGGAGTCCATGGCATCTTCCTGCAGCGGCACAGTGCCCCTTGGCTGTGGTCAGCATTCGCTGTGCTGCCCTGGGCCCGCCTGGCTCCCATGACGTCAGTCACCATCCTGCTCTGTCCGTGTTGAGAACCAGAGCACTGTATTAGCCCTGGGGCCACAGCAACTTCCCTGGGGCAGTGACAGTGTTCTTTCCCATCTTTGTCCCTGTGATTGGCAGGAACGCAGCCACCCCTGTGCCTGACCCTCGGCTGCCCCCTGAGAGCTGCCTTCTGCTGCCCCCAGCACCTGTCCGAGGTGGGCCAAAAGCTGCAGTGGCCAGGAAGACCAATATGCACATCCTCATCGAGTCTGGGCTGCGGGTAGGAAGCGCAGCGCCAGGGCTGCTCGCCTTTGATACACGCGACACAGCTCCCGGATCAGTATTCCAGCCTTGGACCTCTTGGGGTTCAGTGCAGCCTCACATGCATGCCACTGAGCCGCTTGGGAGCTTTTGCTTGTCTTGTGTGGCTGTGGACTGGGCCGGGGCACTTGCTCTGTTGCATCCCTGACTTTGTGGATTTTTTCTGCTTGAGACAGGATCTCACAGAGCCTCTAAGCTTCATGGGCTAGGCTGGAATTTAAAGTCCTGCCTCCGCTTCCCCAGGTGCTAGGGCTGCGGATGTACACCACTATGCTCAGCGATGGGCGCTTTTACAGACAAGAACTTGACCATGTCTGTCTTGGAGCTCTTTTCCAGGAAGGAAACCCCGTCCTCCGGGCTCACCTTCCAGCCTCCTGGCTGCTCTGTGCCTCGAGTCACTGCCCACTCCTCTCTTCCTGAAACCCTCGGGACGGCGCAGCCTGCTAGCGTGCTTCTCTGGTCCCCTGGCCACAGCCGGGCAGGGGCGGGATGTTTCTCAGTGCTGCACTCGGGCTGTGCCAGGGCTAGTCTCAACGCCCCATGGACCCTTCCGGCTGCGCCGCCCTCCACCTCACTTCCCCTTTCCTCTCCTACTTGCAGCTGCTGCACCTGAGTCTGAAAACAGCCAAGATCCGGTCCTCAAGTGAGCGTGACCTGGAGATGCTGGACCCTTTTGTGTCCCTCCTCATCAGCTGCCTGGACTCCCGGGATGTGAAGGTGAGTGGGGCTGTGTCATGCGGAAGACCACAGCCTGCAGCACCAGACCACCCCCACCCTTGAGGACCTGAGCGTCATTAGCCCTTGGCCCACTGATAATCTAACTTGATCCCAGGACAACTTCAGCACTGAATGGCAGTGTCCCTAAGCCATTGTCACTCCCCTGAAGCTGTTACCACTAATCCTTCCAACCCCTGGCAAAGATGATGCTTCGTTTTTTCTGAGACAGTGCCTCACGCTGTATCCCAGGCTGGCCTGGAGGTCCTGGTGATCCTCCTGCCCCAGCTTCCCGAGTGCTGGGATGATAGGCGTGCGCCATCACGCCCGGCGCTGAGGCAGATGTTTTTAATGTTCAGTAGATGTGGCAACACGGGCAGGGTCCCATCCCAAGTCCCCATGGGAGCCTATGGCTGTGGGATTCCCCTGCCCACTGCCTCCTCCTTCTCAGATGGTGCTGGGGGTTGAGCAGCGTCTCAAGTCCTGCAGGCAGCACTGCAGACTGGGATTGTGGATTTGGGGCTCCGGGCTGTCTTCTGTCCCTTGCACTCTCAGCTGGAGATTCGGAGCCCTGGGTGCCAGCTCGCACTCTCCCTGCCCCCGTGCACAGTGCTCAGTGATTCCCTGGCCTCAGGGCCAGAGCCCTCTGTCATCTCTGAGCTGTGACACTGAGCAGAGGCCAGCCGAGCTCAGCACAGCCGGCTGCTGTGACCTCAGCCCCAGTGACAGCAACAGAACCCAGGAGTGTGCTGTGTTGCCACACAAGCCTGGAGAGAGCAGGGCGCACTAAGAAACCGCTCTAAACGGCGGGTGCTGTATTGGGCAGCCTGTGAGCTTCAGAGCATGGGGTGGCACTGCTGTCACTGTCAGGAGGACCTTGACAGGAGGACTGCGGGAGGTGGCCCAAACCCTGGATGATGCCTGGCACAGCGTCTCATCTGTTCCGCTGGGCCACACGGCAAGTGCCGCTGGCTTCAGGAGTTGTTCTGTTCTTGTCTTTCCCTTACCCAGGTGAGCACCGGTGCTCTGCAGTGCCTCATCTGGGTCTTGCGGTTCCCTCTGCCATCCATAGATGCCAGAGCAGGGCAGCTGGCGAAGCACCTCTTCCTTCTGCTGAAGAACTACGCCAGGCTGGGGGCTGCCCGGGGCCCCAACTTCCACCTGGTAGTGAACTGCTTCAAGGTGGGTGAGGGGCAGATGGCAGCGGGTTGGTTCCCTGCGGAGGGCCAGGGCCACCTGTCGTCGGGCACTGCCTGGTCAACACCCTGTTGTACCTGCAGTGCGTGACTGTCCTGGTGAAGAAAGTCAAGTCGCACCAGGTCACCGAGAAGCAGCTGCAGGTTCTGTTGGCGTACGCCGAGGAGGACATCTATGACACTTCCAGACAAGCCACAGCCTTCGGCCTCCTGAAGGTGCGGCATCTCCGAACGTTGGCGTTAGCAGTTTTCAGTCTTTGGGCCCCAAGTTAGAATGGCGTAGGACATACCATGTAAGAGCCGTTGTCAGGGGCAGCGTTCTCATGGGTCAGTGACAAGGTAACTTGTGTTTATAGAAACATTTGAAGCTGGGAGGCTGAGGCAGGAGGACTGCGAGTTCCAGTCCGGTTGGGCGACTTACCTTATCAAGAGCCTGTCTCAAAATGCAAAAACTGAAAGGGTTAGAGACGTGACTAGAAGGGAGGCTGTGGAGTGAGTGCAGCACGAGGACACAGGAAGCAGTGTCTGGACATGCGCTCTGCGGCGCCGCTGCCGGGCTCCGCTTTTCCTTCCGTTCCCTGGGTCTCTTCTTGAAGTAAAGCATGCGTTACCTAAAATGGACCACCCTGGCCTGTCTTAGGTGCATGTTGTTCTTCCTCAGAAGTTAGTTTTGTTGTGTTTGAAAACTGCCCATGAGGGGCTGGGGAGATGGCTCAGTAGAATAAGTGCTTCCCTGGCAAGTGCAAGGGCCTGAGTTCAATCCCTGGTTCCTGCCCCAAAAAAAGAAAAAACTGCCCGTGGCTCCAGTTAGCACGGAGCCCGCGTGCGCCTGTCTACAGTGAGACCCGAGATGAGTGTCCTTTCCTTTCATGTTTGAGGCTATTTTATCAAGAAAGTTGCTGGTCCCGGAAATCGACGATGTCATGCGGAAGGTGTCCACACTGGCCATTTCTGCGCAGAGTGAGCCCGCCAGGGTGCAGTGCCGCCAGGTGTGCAGTGGGACAGCGGGGCCTCAGGTGGGGTGGGTCTCACTGGAGATTTGGGGTGCAGAGGGGAGAACAGGGAGGAACAGCTGCCACTCAGGCAGAGGAGGGCGGGCTCCAGCCTGTCCCCGGGGATGGCAGCCGGCTGGGCAGTTGGGTGAGGCTGCCGTGCGGGCTGTGCATGGGGCTCCTTCCTAAAGCGCCAGCGCGGTGTGAGGGCACGAGCTGGCGCTGCACTTCTGCTGCCCACATCAGGTCGCCCCCTGCTCTGCCCCTTCACTGCTCTGCCTGAATATGGCAGCATCGCTTGCTTGCTCAGGGGACCGGGAAGCTCGCAGGTGCTTGCGTATGGACAGTGCTGTTGCCGTGGCACTGCTCCTCGGCGTGGTGACAGTGTTCTCATCCAGGAACCTGTCCCACCTAGCACAGCCGAGCTTAGGTTGGGAGCCCAGGGGACCACTGTGGCAGAGTCCCGTCCCCAGGCAGCCCATCAGGGCTCAGGCTTGAGGCCAACCATACCCGTCCTGCAGGTCTTCTTGAGGTATATCCTGGACTATCCGCTGGGAGAGAGACTGAGACCCAACCTGGAATTCCTGCTCGCCCAGCTGAAGTAAGTGCAGCCGTGGCCGCAGGCTAGGGGGGCTTTCTCCCCAGGCTGCTGCCTGCGACCCATGGCCTGGCAGTGCCCCTGCTAAAGGCTGCCCTGTGTTCTGGCCCTAGTTACGAGCACGAGACAGGGCGTGAGTCTGCGCTGGAGATGATTGCATACCTCTTTGACGCCTTCCCTCAGGTACCCTTGCATCTTCCTCTGGCACATGACTGTCCTGTCCCCTCTATGGCCCGGGCCCTAGGCTGCCTCTCCAGGCTCGTGCTCAGCCGCCCTCCTCCCCACAGGGCCTGCTGCATGAGAACTGTGGCCTGTTCTTCATCCCCCTCTGCCTGGCTACCGTGAATGACGCTTCGGCCACCTGCAAGAAGATGGCAGCCCTGGCGATCAAGGCCTTACTGGGCAAGCTCAGCCCTGAGAAGAGGGACTGGCTCTTCAGCCTGGTCACCTCCTGGTTCGGAGCGAAGAAGGTCAGTGCTGCTTTTGTTCATGAGTTCAAGGCATGCCTAGGCTGTATAGTAAGACTCTGTCTTAAAAATAAATTCTTGGGTGTCAAGATTTCTCTCCATTTCTTAGTGTTCAGAACTACATATTTTGCGGATTCCTGGCATCAGGAAGAGATGCTTCTGAGGCCAGGGAGATAGCTCAATAGAATAAGCGTTTAAGTGCTTAAGGGCCTGACACAAGGGCATCTCCACACTTGTTCTCACAGAGGCTGAACAGGCAGCTCGCCGCCCTCACCTGTGGTTTGTTTGTGGAGAGTGAAGGAGCTGATTTTGAGAAAAGGCTTGGAGCTGTTCTACCCATCATTGAAAAGGAAATTGACCCTGAAAACTTCCAAGATGTGAGTGATGGCTGGGAATAAAACTGCAGCCAGCTGTGATTTAGAAACTTCATTTGCAGTGGTGTGGCTCATAGATTAAAGCCTTTAAAGGACGTAAGAGTGAGTTACCTTGTGTGGTACATGAAGATAGAGGGTCACTCTGTCCCCAGGGGCCGTTAGCGGTGTCCAGGGACCCATGTGACTGTCAGGGCAGGAGGGCGGGGGTACCACGGGCAAGCGCAGGTGGCCCGGGCCCACTGCACAGCACCTGCAGTCTGAGGCGCGGGTCCCCTCCGCCTGCGCGCAGATCGTGGAGGAGACCTTGGAGAAAGCAGCTGACCGCCTGCTCTTCCACTTCCTCACGCTGCTGAGTAAGCTCATCAAGGAGTGCAACGCCATCCAGCTCTCCAAGCCCGCTGAGACGCTGTGCAGGATCTGGAGTGAGTGTTTCTTTTCTGTTGTGTTGTCAGGGAACAAGTAGATAGATTTGGGAAATCAGAACAGGAACATTCCATGAAGTAGATGCAAGAAAAATGTCCATGATTTTAAAAAAAAAGCAAGGCCATCCACCTGGTACAGTGGCGCACTCCTGCAAACCAGCCCTTAGGAGGCTGAGATGGGAGGATCGCTGTGAGCTCAAGGTCATCCAGGGCTACATAATGAGATGCTGTCTCAACAACCGATCATAGAGTGAGTGCCATTGACTTCCTTGAACCTGGGCCTCAGCCGAGGGGGACTAGCGGAGGCTAGGACACCCTGGTCTCGCTGCCTGTCCAGTCCCGACTGCCCTTTCTGTGAGCTTCCAGGATGCGGCTCACTCTGTCCACCACTGGCTCCTAGTTGCAAGCACAGCAGGTGCTCGGGGATCCCCTGGAACCCAGAACTGCAGAGTGAGCTGCGTCTCCGTCCTAGGCCACGTGCATGCACACCTGCGACACCCGCATAGCTGGGTGTGGCTCACGGCCGCCCAGATCTTCGGCTTGCTCTTTGCCTCCTGCTCGCCTGAGGAGCTGGTTGCACATTGGAAAGCAGAGAGGACGTCGAGGAGACCCCCATGCCCTGCGGCAATCCACTTCCTCACAAGAGACCTTGACCTCAAGGTGCGACTGAGCATGCTGCCCTCTCAAGCCCCGTGGCCCTGCTGTCCTCTGTGGGCCATGGACTCAGGCCAGCCTGGGGGAACCTGGTGCATGCGTGGTCATTAGGCGCGTGTCAGAGTGGGAGGGAGTGCACCCTCAAGCTGGTGGCCGCGTGCTGGGGGCTGCATGACCCTCACACGTGAGCACAGCGCCAGGAGAGCTGCATCCTGCCTCTCAGGCTTGGTGCCCAGCAAGAGCGTGCTGCAGAAATTCCTGCGGAGGGCAGTGGGGAGAGAGGCCAGGTGGCCAGGGCTCACTACCTGTGTCCCTTCATGGGCTGGACCCAGGCCTCTAGCCTGAACCTTCTCCGCTGTTCACGCACATGAGTCTAGCAGGCTGCAGTGTGGCGTTAGCACTCAGGGCAGTGCCCGCATCCTCCCTCCACAGGTGAGGAGCCTTGCTCTGGCCTCGTGCCACCAACTGCACTCCAAGTTCCTGGAGCCAACCCTGGGCGAGCAGGTGAGTGGTGCTTCCGCGCCCCATGGCACGGGCTTGACTGCAGTCTGGTGTGCTTTCCAGCACACACCCAGTCATGCACACTCCTCTGTGTCTGCATGCCCCACGCAACAGTGTGAATGAAGGGTGATCTTGTGTGGTAGTCCTGAGCTCAGGCACTTGTGTCACTGCAGTGAAGACACCCCTGTGCCATCACGGGTCAAGGGGGACAGGCAGCTAGGACATCGGTGGCACCATGTACCTCCTGCTGGGGTGCCCTGCAAGAAATCCTTTAAGGGTGCTGCACTCGGTCTCCACTCACGGCTCTCCTGGCCAGAGGGTGCCCATGTACCTCAGTCTAGTTTCTCCTCACACCGCCCCCCTTCTTCCTAAGGTTGTTAAGAATCTGCTGTTCATAGCCAAAGTCCTGTACTTGCTAGAAGCAGATTCCGAGCCTGGGCACGTTGAGGTGCCAGGAGGCAACAGAGGCAGCACAGCTGAGGGCAACAGCAGAGACTCGGAGGAGGGTGCCAGGCCCGGTGGCCGCACCTCGCTGCTCTGGCTGCTCCTGAAGCTGGTGCGCATGGCCAAGCTGGAAGCCGCCTACTCACCCCGTAGCCCCGTAAAGGTAGGACCCAAGGGCAGGGCAGGACAGTGAGGGCAGTAGGGGGGCTGTTGTGAACAGTGGGGAAGGCGCCCCCCAGTGCCGGGAACCTCACCTTTGAGCCTAAGCTGCAGCTGTTAGACCCTGGGGCGCAGGCTGGCCCTGCTTTTCCAGATGTGCACGGGATGGCTGAGTCGAGGCTGTGTGCTTTCAGAGGACGTGCATCTTTAAGTTCCTCGGCGCCTTGGCGCTGGACCTCAGCGTGGACAAGGTCAAGCCCTATCTGCCCGTGATCCTGGCTCCACTGTTCCGGGAGCTGAACAGCACCTACTCGGAGCAAGGTAGCCCTGCGCCCCCTTCCCTCCTCTGCACCCTGCCACCTCACTTCTCCCTCGGTGCCTCCTCTTCCCTGGCCTCCCCGCCCTGCCGGGCATGGTGGTGCACACCTGTAGTCCCAGCAGTGAGGAGGCTGAGGCAGCATGATCGCTGTGAGTTCCAGGTCAGGCTGTGTAGCGAACAGGCAGACAAGAGGGATCAAGACAGTAGTTGTGAACAAGTTTGTACAGGCTGTCTTCCGCCCACTTCTCACACTGTGCCTTTTCTAAGAGAAGGGCTTTATAGACTCAGGGTTCAGGGGAAACTGTGTGGGCTGATCCAGCCTGACAGTACTGCAGACCCTAAAAGACAACAGTGCTGCAGCTTCCGAGGCAGCAGCTTCCGAGGCAGCTGGGTGTGCTCCGCACCCACAGCCTCTGGGCCTTTTGCTCCTCCACCACCCTAAGTGCCGGGGCAGGAGAGAGGCTCGGGCTAGGGCAGAGCAGGGGCCAGGGGTGGCCGTGGGAGGGTCTGGCCCTGCCGCTGTAGGCTTTCTGCTCTCACAGCTGCTGCCCGCTCCGCGTGGGTCTGCAGGCCCTGAGCTGCAGCCTGGGGAGAAGCGGAGCAGTACTCTGTGTCCAGGGGCAGCACGGGTGTTAAGGGAGCCTCGGGGTCTGGCACCAGCCTCTGTGCACACGCTCAGGAGGGCCGGAAGCAGGTTGGGTAGCATTTCTGTTTCTGCTGACCACTGCTCTCTGTGCCCAGACCCCGCACTAAAGAACCTGTCACAGGAAATCATTGAGCTGCTCAAAAGGCTGGTCGGCCTCGAGAGCTTCTCCCTGGCCTTCGCCTCTGTGCAGAAGCAGGCGAGCGCCAAGCGGGCACTGCGCAAGCGGAAGAAGGCACTGGAGGTGAGTGTGGGCTGGGCTGCAGGTGGGCCAGGTCTTGGTGAGAGGTGGCACGCGTGCTGCATCTGGGCACCTCGGCTTCACGCCTCCTGTAAGCGTAGTGCACACAGAGTAGGGTTGTGTGGTAGACTAGAAATGTCTGTTTTCTTCCCCAAGTTTGTGACTAACCCAGATATTGCTGCCAAGAAAAAGCTGAAGAAACATAAAAGTAAAAGTGAAGCAAAGAAGCGAAAGATCGAGTTCCTACGACCAGGCTACAAGGTCAAGCGACAGAGAGGCCGAAGCCTGCGAGACCTGGCCATTGTGGAGTAGCAGCCGCCAGTGGGATGGGCCAGACAGGGCAAGGCTGCTGCTCTGCTAGGCTCATGTCACACAGCTTTGTCATTGAAGCTGGACCTTGGTGGGGACTGTATAATGTGTATAATCTAACATCATCATGTTCTTTTTTAAAAATTAAAATGTTTAATGCCACTACCATGTCTTGTCCAAAAAGCACCTCATGCTAAAAGTTTAAAGCATCACTTTTTAATAAAAAGGAAGTTTAAATTAGCAAGAAAAAAATGTGTAAAGTTAGAAACAAGTGACAAGTCCTTGCAGTACCAAATACACAGTGCCGGTCAGGAGGCGTGGCAGGGCGAGCACACACAGACGTGCAGGGCCTTCTGTCAGCCTGGGAGAGCTGATCCCGCACTGCCGGTGGGTGGTTGGAGAGGGCCTAGAGGGCAGGAGACAGGAAGTGCTGGTGACGCGACCTATGCTGTGTGTTAAATTTAATAGCTTAGGTACAGGCTAGTTTATGGGGTAGACTGCAGAGTGCTTAGACCATTAGTAATAGCCAGGTTTTATGACAAATACGTGGACATCAGTGAAGGGCATCCATGAGGAAAAGTGAAGAGACTGCACAAAAGCAGAAACATAAATGACCCTATTAAGAATTAGCTGGCTTTTGGAGCACAGCGTTGAGGTCCACAGACGTGGGCCTGAAGAGTTGGATTTATTGAATCCTGCATGAGACCGTGGCAACCAATAAAGACTGCTGGTGCCAGGAAAAAAAAAAAAAAGAATTACCTGCCTCAGTGTTGTGCTTGCCTATAATCCCAGTACTCCTGGAGACTGAGGCAGGAGGACTGTAAGATGGTAGCCCAGCGGGGGCAGCCCAGCAAGTTGGCGAGACCCTGTCTCAGTAAAAATAAAGCTGTGGGGTGCAGCCCAGTGGGAAGGCCCTAGGTGCAATTCCCAGTTCGGTGTGAAAAGTAAAACTAGCAACTGGTTAACAAGGCTGTATCAGGCGCTTACTGCCAGGGACCAAACCAGCTTTTAACTGCTGTAAGTTTACAGTCACCTGCCGTTAACCCTCACTGGAGACCCCGTGTGAGCCGTAAGGTGGCTGAGGCTGGCCCCTTGTGTGTCTGGAAGTCTGGTGGGCAACAGGGACTGCAGCAGGCAGCTTGAGAGCGCTCCAGTATGCATGACAGCTCCTTGAACTCAGTGCCAGGGATTGGAAGACTTCAGCCAGAAGCAAGCACGCATCCCTCCCAAGAGCACTCGGGACGGTGGCTCACACAAAGACACAGTACTGAGCACTTACCTCAGTGGAGTGAAATCCTAAAATAATGGGCGGGACAAGGCAGAAAAGCAGCTGAGGATCGTGACAGCTTGGGGCAGCAGGCGACGCGAGGAGCAAGAGAACCATCCCAAGGACCACTGTGGGAGCTAGGGCTCGGACTAGCGCTGTATTCGGTGTGAGCGTCCCACCTTCTCACGTTTTGCTTCACTGTTGATCTTTGTTTATCAGATACTTCCTATTACGCTGTCTGTGACCTGAGCCGCTAAGTTATTAGTACAGAGCAACACTACATACCTCCGGGACCCAGAGCTTGCTTATGAGGTTTTACAGCTGAAACTGTCGGGGTCGCACCTGCGGATGCTGTCGGGTTGGGTGCTCACCCTCATGGTACCTGTGACCCACCGGGATTCCAAGGCCTTCCTTGAGTGCCTGGGCCTGGATGTGCATGCTCCCGTCCCAGAAGTGCTTCTGAGAGACACTCAGCACCCTAGAGTGCTTGTGCTAAGTACTTGTATTGCTGCCATAAAAACTTGAAACTCCAGGCGGCCAGACAGCGCAGCAGACTAAAGTGCCTGCTTAGGCAGATGCAGGGACCAGGTTCAATTCCCGGTGTGCCTTGCCGGCCCCAGCCCCACCCCCAGGGGATGCTGAGACGCTGGCCTGTAACCCCAGCGCTTCGGAAGCTGAAAACAGGAGGACCACTACAAGTCTGGTCTATGCAGTGAGACCCTGTAGTCCCTGTACTAAATACATTAAAAAAAGTACTTTACTCCAAGGCGGGGCCAACAGTGGGGACACCACCACAGCACATGCTGCAGGGCACCCAGGCAGTCAGTCCTGCCTGCTGGTGTCCCCAGCTCCCAGGGTAACAGGAGAAGCTTGGGACAATGCTGGGGCTGGAGACCATGTTACCTGCTATTCAGCTGAGATGCAGTGAACAGAAGTGGCTGTCTGAAACCTGTACCGTTAGCAGGCTGCACGGCCCTCCTGGACAAGTCCTATGCATGTCAGTGTGAACCCTGGCTGCTGGTTTCTGCTACATGGGGCCTTGAGTTTATGTCCCGGTGGCCAGCACACATCCTTGTCCTTTGGAACAGACCAGATCTCTGGGCATGGCAGGGCCGGTCCCAGAGGTATGCAGTTGTAGTGGGCACTGTGCGGAGGGTAGGACACTCGTGGACAGGGTCAGCCCAGGCATGCCATGCAGGCAGGAGGGTGGAGAGGCCTCAGTGAGGAGGACACCGCATCTCCCAACGCACTGCACCCCTGGGCAACGCAGAGCCCCAAGCTCATTTTTATAATGAGTGCTGGGCTTCTCCCTGCAGGAACAAGTTTTACTCCCACCCCACTCACATGCCCAATACCGGTGGATAAATGGAAAAAAGACAACACAGACAGCTCTGATGCTTCTTAAAATAGATATTTTATTTCCTTTAACGTGAATGTTTTTATTATGTTGAAAATTCCATCAAATATAACCACTTAGGATTGTTTTAATGACATCCCTGGTCACTTCTCCTAGACAAGCTCACAGACATTACTCTGAAGGCTCCAAATGGTTACCCCAAGTCTAAGCCCTGTCTAAGGGATCAGCACATCTCCAGAGCCCACGGTGTTGTGCACGAGCTGGGCAGGATCTGAGTACTATCCGCGTCAGCGTGCCCGCGGCCCTGGCCACAAAGTGACAACACGAACGAGCAGGTCAATTTCCATAATGTTAACAACTACAAAGTGCCCTAAGATGAGAGTTGCACGGGGTTGGGAAAGCAGCCACCAGAGTAACCCCGTGCTGTCACCCAATGCGTTTAAACTGAAGCTGACAGGACTCGTGCTGCCCAACGCCTGAGGGAGGAGTGGTTAGTGTTAACACAAACAAGATACAACCCCAGTTCAAGGGAAGGGCGCTCCCTCCCGGGAAGAGTGCGCTCTAACGCAGTGGGTCCAGGAGCCCTGCACCAACAGAACACGCACCTTCACGTGAGGGGGCGGGGAGAGGATCTATGCGACACAACAGTCATGGATTCAATCAAGGGTCCCTGCAACCAGACACTCATTCCGCTCTTTATTACTGCACTGCGTCAGTCAGCACCTGCCTCCATCACAAGACCTAGTGCAGTCTCAAGGGATGAGGGACGCAGCCGCGCTCCACAGCCACGACTGTGGTTATTGTCTGCTCTTCAGCGTCTCCACTAACCTGCAAAGAGGATGGTGTTGGTGACCGACCTGTCACGTGGAAGGGCGACCATCACATAAACTTCCCGATGGCCCGGCCGGACACTCACCACTCCATGGCCTCGTCCAGGCCAGTGCCTTTGGTGGCCGACGTCTTGAATATCTGCCATTTGCGGTCCTTGAGGGCGGGCAGGCCGAGGGCATTGGCCATCTCCGAGGGGGTCATGGCCTGCTCCATGTCCTGCTTGTTGGCAAACACTACCAGGATGGCCTTCCTCAGCTCCTCCTCCTGAGGAGATGGATGGAGAGGCCTTACACCTGCACCATCCTGCTCCCTTGGTTAGGAACGAGGGCCAAGGAGGCGCGGGGGGTGTCTTGTTCTTGGGACAGGGTCTTGCTAGGCAGCTCAGGCTGGGCTTGAGCTCACTCTGGAGCCCAGGGTGGCCTTGAACCCACAGCTCCTCCCGCTTCATGCTCCCAGGTGTTGAGATCACAGGCATGCACCACTACACCCAGCACAAGTACATGTTAACATTATTAACAATGCTCACTACAAATTAATAGATAAGTATAAAGCAAAAAGCCCCACCCCTAACCCTGCCTTCTAAACACAATCACTAGTAACACTGTATTTTCCCCTAGTACTGGGTTCTGCACATATGTACTTAATACCTTTACCCATTGAAGGTTAATACATACTCCTGTAACTTGCTTTTAAAAAAGTAAAACTACAAATGTTTCTCAACCGTAAAAATCTTTTCAAGTCAGGCACAGTGGTGCACCCCACAGCCCTAGCCTGAGGGAGGCTAAGGCAAGAGGATAAGGCCCAGGCTAGCAGACGGTGCGGCTCCGTCTGCCCAGGGCAGCTGGGGTATGCAAGGACCCTGGGCTCCACAGAGGGCCGGGGTCTACCCTAAGCACGCTGGGGACCCAGCTCTCCCAGAAGCTTGCTGGGACAGGAATCCTGGGTCCCTGCACTGGAGCCCCATGCATGTGTGCACCAGTACCTGAGCGGTGCCTGCACTTACCTCCAGCATGGCCACCAGCTCGGACTTGGAGATGCCAATGCGGTCCCGGTCACAGCTGTCCACCACATAGATGACCGCATCTGTGTTCGAGTAGTAACATCTCCAGTACGGCCTACAGAAGAGTCAGAGGGAGCCCTTGTTACCCTCCTGGGAGAGCAGGACAAACACACACCAGGGCACAGGACAGGAGGGGCTCAGAGGAGGCGGAGGCAGGCAAGCTCTGCAGAGCCACATGTGCACCAGCTGTGACGGGCACAGATCCTGTGGCCCCCAGATACCAGATGGTTGAAAGGATATGATCAATAGTAAATCACAGTCGTCATGGTGGCAGGAGGATCACCTGAGTTGCAGGCCAGATGGGCTACACAGTGAGTTCAAGGCTGGCCTGAACTATACAGCGATACCCTGTCTCCAGACAGAACAAAGGACTAGGGATATAGCTCAGTAGCACAGCGCCTGCCTGGCAAGCACAAGGTCGAGAGTTCAATTCCATACAAAAAAAAAAAAAAAAAAAAAAAACAAAACCCAGAACCACTAAGTTTTGAAATGAGCTCAGACTAAATTATAAAATACTGAATGTAAGGCTGGGGATATAGCTCAGTGGCATAAGCACCTACTGGCAAGCGCAAGGTCCCAAGTTAGATCCCCAATACCCCCCCAAAAAAACGAATATATTAACAGAAGTTTCTGTTGGTTATAGCTTAAAATGTTTAATCAACAATCCCTTTAAAAGGAACAGACTTTAATAGGACTTTGTATGATAATCATTAGTCCCCAAAGACACCAAGTAGAAATGGCTAAAACTGAAATCAAAAGTAATTTTAAAAATGAGTTCAAGGCAGGCAGTGGTGCTGGGAAGCATCACTACCGTAACAGACCACAGGAGCTCAAGCTGAGTGACTAAGCCATCCCAGGGCCTTGAGCCTAGGTGGCGGCAGGCATCTAGCAGCTCATTAGCTCAGCTTGGGGACCCACCAAGCTGGGACCAGGAGTCAGTTACTCCATTGTGGGGACTAAAACTAGGCCTTCACACTGCGCTACATCCCCAGACCTCTGTACTTTTTAACTGGAGACAAGATCTTGCTAAATCACCCAGGCTGAACATGGCAATCCTCCTGCCTCAGCCTCCCGACTATCTGGGATTACGGGCATGCATCATCATGCCCAACCTGTGAGGTATTTTTACAAATTCCAAAGCAATCTCCTCACAGAGGAAGGAGCTGACAATGAGCTGAAGGGCCTTTCTGAATGTAACTAGGTCTTAAGATTTTTATAAAAAGATCTGATAATTGAGAAATTGGCTTTCTTACACTTCAATTCAATGGATGTACTAAGGAAAGTTTCAAATTGTACCTCACTGTAAACTAGTAACTCCCAGGCTAGGGAGATAGCTCAGCCGTCTAAGCGCCTGCCTAGCAAGCACAAGGACCGGAGTTTGATCCCCAGTACCACGTGCTGTGCTGACCACCGAAACCAGGCGTGATGGCACACTCCTGTAATCCTAGCGCTGGGGAGGCTGAGATAGGAGGATCACTACGAATGTAAACTGCGTAGTGAGACCCTGTATCAAATAAATAAACAACAGCACCAACAATTTTTTTTAATTAAAAAAAAAAAATAAGCTAGTAACTCCCATCTAATTTATGAGGGAGAATGTATTTTGGTTTACTGCTGTTTAAGAAACCAATCAATGCCAGTACCGGGGAGGCTGAGGCAGGAGGACTGCAGTGGAGTTGGAGGCCAGCCTGGGCTACACTGAGCCCAAAGCCAGCCTGAACTGTATAGTGTAGCTTAAAAATTTAAAAAAAGAAAAACAAAAAACAACCAAACAAAAAAAAAACCCTCAAAGTTTAAATACCACAGAACATCAAATAATGTGATACTGATGTCATACCTGATACTCGTCTGTCCCCCCAAATCCCACACTTGGAATTTCAGGTTTTTGTACGTCACGGTCTCCACATTAAAGCCGATGGCTGGAAGAGAAATGAAATCACTGCACGCGTGGAGCTGCGCACCGTCCCTCCAGTGCCCGGCCTGCCCGGGTCCGGGCAATCAGGGGTGCCGCACACATGGAGGCCGGCTCACCCCGCAGTGCTGCATTACCCCGGTGTGGCCCACCTGGGCATTCAACAGGTTGTGTTTAAAAGGGTGGCTTCACACGACCCACAGAGGCTGGAACCTTGGTGGCCATCAAGTAAACGAAGACCCAAACCAGGAAGGATGGGTCCTGACCTGTAGCACGTAGCACACTCTTGGGCCAGGTCTAGGGATCCCCTCTGCAGGGCCCCAAGCTCATGCGAAGCAAACCCAGGCGTGCTGGAGGGGGCACTCAGGCCATCCTGCCTCCTCAAGGGAGCCAGGGCTGCAGGCAGCTGTGGGAGACACCACTGTCCTGGGGGGCCGGACAGAAAAGGCACTGACCAAGACCATTTCCATTTCATAAGTTTCATAAGTAAAAGGACCGAGAGTCCTAACTGGATGGCGATTTTGGCTTTTCGTCAGAACGGCAATTAAGGGTACTGAGTCACACACCAGTGTCCTCCCACTGGGATGCAGTGCAAGAAGCGCCGGCTCCCCTCACGGGCACTGCCTGCAGCCCGGGGCACCCTGCTGGGGGAGCCAGCACCACAGTGCCCTGCCCAGGCCGGAGGGCTTAGGTGCTAACTGTAAACCATCCCAAATGGGCTGCAGGGAGGCTTCCATGCCAGCTGAGCCCTCAGTCTCAGCAAATCCAATCAACAGCGAGAAGGCAGGGTCAGGGGTGTCACACCAGCACTTACTAGGAATAGTCGTAACAACTTCTCCGACCTGCAATCTGTACAAAATCGTGGTCTTTCCTGCACCATCCAATCCCAAAATTAAAATCCTCATTTCCCGGGTTCCAAAGAGGCTGGAAAAAATACTTGAGAAAAAGCCACCTGAAACATAGTAAAAACAAAAATGCAGTGAGGACCATTTTGTGACCTAGGTCCATAAAACATTTAATCTTTTTTTTTTTTTTTTCTTTTCAGAACCAGGGATTGAACTCAGGCCCTTAAGCGCTTACTCTACTGAGCCATCTTCCCAGCCCCTTTTTTTCACTTTTTTTTCCTAATGTATTCAGTAAAGGGTCTACATGGTCTCACTACAAGATTGGACTCGTAGTGATCCCCGTTCTCAGCCTCCCAAGTGCTGGGATTACAGGTGCGCACCACCATGACCAGTCTCATTCACCCTGCCATCTCAGCACACTCCGGAGGCGAGGGCAGAACGGCTGGCCCAGGATTGAACCCCCAGCCACTGTGTCTGCCTAAACAGGTATTTCCATCTGCTAAGCTATCTGGCCAGCCCTAATCTTGCCCTTTGAAAGACATATACCAATTAAAAACCTTTTTCCTAGCTGTGAAGGTAGTTTTGTTTCCATTAAAATATATTTTTCGGGGCTGGTGAGATGGCTCAGTGGTCTAAAGCACCTACTTAGAACAAGCTTAGCAAAGCACAGGGACTGTAGTTCAATCCCCCAGCACCACAAGCCAGCCAGCCCCGCCCCGCCCCCTGGTGGGCTGAGCTGGCCACATGCGCACACACACACACACACAAATAAATAAAAATACGTATACCAGAGCTTTTAAAAAAAATAAAATAAAATATATTTTTCAACATCAATTAATTAGCGATGTCAGCAGGTCCTAAGCAGGGCACCAGGCAGGTGTAACACAGACCAGCTTTAGACACTGCCAGTGCCCCCAGAGAGCATCTCCTGGACCATAGAACAGTCACAGCCTCCAAGAACCAAGACGGTGAGGTCCTTACATATGAAGACCAGGATCATACCATAACCATCAGCAAATCACTCAAGAGTTCTCTACTGAGCAACAAAACTTGCTCAAAAAACTGCAATCAAGGCAAAAAGCAATGAGAACTACTTTTGAAAGAAAGTTCATGTTACAAATTAAAGCTACATCCAGCAGGGCATGTGGCACACGCCTGTGATCCCAGCACTGGGGAAGCTGAGGCAGGAAGAGCGCAAGAGTTCCCTGGGCCACACAGTTCAAGATGCTGTCTTGAACACAGCAAAATGGTGTCTCAAAAAACAATCAATCAAACAAACAAAAAGCTAAGTCCAAAAGCACCAAGAAGTATTTCCAGAAAACTTCCAGAGTACAAGTATTCTGGGTAACATTAAGATACTTGTGGCACCATCGCTTTCCAATCAAAATTCACTAGAAACGATAAAAACAAAGTTGTGTAAAGAATACAAAAACAGAGAGATTGGCTGTTGGCAGCGTTGCCCCTGACCTCGTGTGTGACTTGTGGAGTCGGTGTTTGCAGCTGCGGAGGGTTTAGCGAGATGTCTCACTCTATTTTGCTGGTGCAGCCTACTAAGAGGCCAGAAGGCAGAACCTACGCTGACTATGAATCTGTTAATGAATGCATGGAAGGTGTTTGTAAAATGTATGAAGAACATCTGAAGAGAATGAACCCCAACAGTCCCTCTATCACATATGATATCAGTCAGTTGTTTGATTTTACTGTCGATCTGGCAGACCTCAGTTGCCTTGGTTACTGAGCTGATACCCAGACATACCAGCCTTATAACAAAGACTGGACCAAAGAGAAGATCTACGTGCTCCTTCATCGGCAGGCGCAACAGGCTGGCAAATAACAGAGTTGGAAACAGCAGGGGCTGGGGGCCGGCTTGGAGCGCAGGTGTGTGTAGTGCGCTGCCCTGGAGCCTGTCCTGTGAGCCTCTTTCCACTTGTTTCACTCTAGCCAGGGTTGAATGCCTTAGATGAAATGTGAGGTGTGAGGATCTTCTCAATCCAAAACCCCCATTGAGCCCTTTTTCTTTTTTTTCCTTTTTTCTTTTCTTTTTTTTTTTTTTACTTAAACATTTTTATGATTCAGAAGGCAGTTGTTCCTTATCGATATTGGTTCCAGTCCTTCAGATTGTTCCTATCTGCTTTATAACATTCACTGTACTAATCTTTTAAGATGGGGTAGGGGGCGATGACAAAGTTGAGTTTTGTCCTCAAGAAAAAGTCTTAGTGAAAACAAATGTTCTTTAGAAAAAAAAAAAAAAAAAGAATACAAAAACAAGAAAAAGAATACAAACCAAGTCGGACATAGTGGTGCATGCCTGTCATCCCAGCACCAGGGAGGAACTCGACTCGAGTTCAAGACCAGCCTGAGCTACAAAGTGAGCTCAAGGCCAGCCTGAACTACAAGCACAGCGAGACCCTGTCTCAGAAAGACATGAGGGAGGAAATGGAAGGAAGGAAAGCAAGCAAGCAAACAAAGGGGGGGGGAGATTGACAACAGAAGTGAAGCCACACTTTGGGGGTTTTGTTTTGAGACAGGGTCTCGCTATGTAGTTCAGCCTGGCCTTGAACTTACTATGTATCCCAGACTGGCCTCGAACTCGGGGCAAACCTCCTCAGCCTCCGGAGAGCTGGGATGACAGGTGTGTGCCCCGCATGCGGCCTCGCACAGGTAGTTACCGGGAAAAGCCCTGGCACGATCTAGAGCTGAAGGGCCGCAGGATCAACTGTCAGGGGCTGATAAACATCTTCGGAGAGGGCGCAGGACAAAGTCCTTTGTGCCAGTGACAGAGGGAAAGGACGGGAGAACACAACCGAGGGCGACACCCGCAGCAAGCTGTCCCCACAAAGCCGAGGGGGGAGCCCGCAAGTCGAAGGGCCCGCGCCTTCCGCGCGGAGGCGGCCAGGCTCGGAAGCTGCAAGCCGAAAGCTCGCGCCGGCTGGGCGCTCGCGGGCCC